GCAAAATCCATGAATCAGTCCGCTACACCCATTCCTAAACTCTATGCAGTCACCGTAACAGTGTTGGTTTGGAGGCTCTAGATGTGGCTGAAAGCTGGAGGTCAGGACTGCACATTGTGCTGTAGGAGTAAAATTGAGAACTGTGAAAAGGGAAGGATTAGGCCCAGGGATGAAGAGAGAAAACTGAAACAGAGGCAGGACTGCTTCAGCTGTAAACTAGACTTCCCTGTGGGTCATCTGTCATCTCCAGCAGCGATAGATCCCAATTTCCATCTCTTTGGAAGTATGACTGAGTGAAGCCAGGATGTCTCTATCACTGAGTAGGTTCAGCCACTGCGGAGGGTCAAAAAGTGAGATTCCCAAACACAGCCCATCTTATATGAATCTACGCAGCAAGCCCCCCCCAGCAGTCCAACCAAATTTAAAGCAGTACTTAGCTCACTCCAGCGCAGAGCCTGTTTGCCAGACTGCAGTGAGGGGGGACAAGGATCTTGCCATGGGGATGGCCTGGTGACTAATGCATTTCATTGATCTTGTGCTTTGCAGGAGAGAACAATCTACCCTCCCCAGTTGCTGCGAGCTTTTCTGCTGAAGGCTCTAAGAAACCACATGAGAGATGTAACCTAAAAGCAGGGCCATGGGAGCCCACTGACCTTAACAATTCTGCTCCGTCATGGATGCATGAACATGATAGTGCAGAAGACACCAGCATCAGGCAATCTCTTGACGGCTTCTACAACATGTGTTGCAAGAAACAGCCAAACAGAACGGATCCTACCTGTGAGGCTGCATCACAATACCTGTCACAGAAGATTTCAGTGCTAGCAAACCAGGAGGGAACAAAATATGCATTGCGTTGTCTACAAATGGCCCAGGTGGTCTTGAGCAGAGATGGGCATAAGATCTTTCCAAACCACTCCACTGCTGCTTGTTTTTCAAAGCCAGCTGAAGGAAAAGTGATGTTGGAAGACAGAAAGAGAACACCTGGACTCTCGGATGACATCCTGCAATTCCTCTTGAAACAAACACGGACAGAACATACCCCTGACATATCACATGAGAAGTGACTTAAGACAATGTTGTGTTTCTGTAGTTGGAGCTTTGCTTTCACTCCGCAAAGAGGTAACTCCTGAAAAGACACTGTTTCTCTTAACACCACCCTCAACGCCCTGTATTCCATGGAGGGGTTCATGTGGGGCAGACTGGAACAAAGACAAACTTTAGTGTAGCTGCTGTAATGAAACTAGCTGAGCGTAGCAATGTAAGTGTAGCAACGGGGTAAAGAGCTTGTAACTGGAAGGGGAACAGTTGCTTCAAGACAGAACCTTAGCACCTGCAGCGAACTGCAGCCCGTTCTGACCCTAGAATCTGCCGAGCAATGGTCACTGAAAGGACAAGAGAGGAAGAAGAGCTGATGAAGTAAACAACCACCAGAGGCATCCTGTGACCACCAAGGCAGACCAAAATAAAAAGAACTGACAGTTGATGGCGATGACGACTGCAGAATGGAAAGTGAAATGAGTATGTAAATAGTTCCTAGAATAGGAGATACACTAATTATTTTGTGGAAATCTAATAAATATGTATGTACTGAATGCATAGAACTGGACGAAAGAAGAAAGAGCGACTGGGATCTCAAAGGTCAGCATTAATGTTCCCAGCTAATGTGGTTACTCAGATGCAACCACACCACTTGCACCAGTTTAAGCATTTGATCTTCACCATTTCAGCTTGGAGAGAGCTCTTGCTCTGCCAACCCAGCTGCTGAGACCTCTTATTCTGTTCCATTTCCATTCTGGCCAGATCCCAGCACAAGTGTTTGTGTTTCATGCACATCGGATTCCCTGGTGCAGTCTCACATGGGGCTGCTATTCCTGCCTTACTTCCTCTGGCAGATTGGCATGGCTGCTGCGCTCTGCAGGTGTTTCGAGAAAAGGCAATAGAAATTTGGCTGCTGACTTCAACTAGAGAAGGAAGAGGCCCTGCTAGCCCAGCTGGCTGCAATTTATGGCCACGATCTTTGGAATTGGTACAATCTCTCTTTGCAAATATATTTATAGTAGAACTTCCTGGATTTAGGTTATTGTCTTCTTGGTGGTTCAGCTTCATGTGTTGCTTGCTTGCTTTGGTGGCAGATATGTACATCTTGGTGGCAGATATGTACATCTTGCTGAAGGGCACGCAAAATATTGGAGTAAACCCTTAGCTGCTTCCTCAGCTACTCGCCTTAATGGTGCTAGGGAAAAAAAAGGAGTTGAGATGAGGATCTATTATAATTTCTGTCGTAGTAAACATATCCGCAGGTAGTGATCTGTCAGAATCCAGAGAAAAGCATTCTGCAGGCAAAAATTATGGAGAAAGATAATACCAGCTGCCTCAGCAATAGGTAGAGCTGGAAAAAACAAACATGCTCTTGAGTGTGCTATCAATAATTACAGCAACTGTACTAGCCTCTCTCTTCCAGCTCGCATCGTTTAACCACCACACATCTGTCATGGCTACAAGGGCATTGATACTGGCAGTTGCAGGGAGCTATTGCTGAGGATGTACAGAGAGGAAGGAAGGTCTTCAGTGTGAATCAGATGTTGATGCTTACAATTTTTTCACCAGCATTTATGCTGTTCCACACAGCTAAATGTGAGTTTCTGTGCAAAACCTGCCATTTTAAGGGACATAACCTCCCAGAAAGAGAGATGGAGAAGTCAGAGGACTGCCTCTGAATCCCTTCAATTGCTGTATATGGTTTGGTGATGACTTGGTCTGTGCTTTGGGTTAGTTCTAAAACCACATGGTCTCCCATTTGGAAAAAAAAAAAAAAAAGTCGACCCCATACAATTTCCACAAAGAAAGCTCTAAACAAAATACGAGATTCTTATTCTTTAGGAGAGTCCTGCTGCTGATGATGTTTGAGAGATACCTGCCAGGTTTTGATGGAAGAGAAAAGAGGTCCTAATGGACTGCAGTCTGACCCTAGATCAGCCCCACAGCCAGATGTGGCCTTCCCTGCTCATAATGTGGCGTATCTCCCTGCAGCGCCTCTTTGGGGCTGTGGACTAAAAAGGTGCGTGCAGGTTGTTCCTTCTGGGGCTCGGAAAAAGCTGAGCTGCTATCTTTTTATCCACTTGTAGAATGAGATTTAGAATACAGTAAAGGAAACAGCAAATCTTAGTGTGGAAGGTATGTGTCCACACAGGAAGTTATTCTGTGGTCCAGCTACGGGGCGATTGAACTGGATGGCAGAGGAAGGCAAGGCACCCCTGGAGAGGTCAGGCTTCTGCTTCGGCTCCTCCAGGCTGTTGGGGCTGTGTAGCCACCACCTTTAACATGCAAGCCTTCTTATTAGAAATTTCTGATGCAGCAAGAAAACAGATAAGAGTACTCATTACTTTTCAACCCTTTAGGAAATGAGATGCGAGCAATGACAAAACAGAGAATAGGTGGCTGCTGAAAGAGCATGAAGATAGATCTGGCAGAGGAGAGCATGAAGCCATTCAATTTTAAAGAGCAACGTAGGCAGAAGAGACTGGATGCAGCTGAAAAATTTGGATTATGACTCACACCTACAAATCTTGTTGGCATCTTGCAGAGCACATGCTAAACTCTGTGCTACTGAAACACGCAGTCTTTTGAGAAGTTTGCATCCTGCACAGTCAGGAGTGCCTGTAGTTGTGTGCACTTCTCACTTCCAGGTACACTCAGTTTGTACCAGTAAATCTGGCAAACTAGATCTGTGTTACATGCTGAGACAGAAGGAAGGGCAAAGTCAGGCCCCCTTGGAATAAAAAATCTCTGAAGCAAGTGATAAATTTGATAGGCCTTGTCTAGAGGAGAGAGGTTGTTTTTTCTTAACTACATTTGGTTTCTTTGAAGTATGAGTCTGATTCTGTGTCCCCACTGAGTTGCACAGTAGGTGACTGAGAGGCTGTTTTGAGGAAGGGTAAATTATCGACGAGTTCCACGTTTGTTTAGGTGGGTGATAATCTGGCATCCTGGGATATTGTTTGGAAATAGTTGGCCAAAGTGATTGTCTTTGTATGATTGGAAATGCTACTGCAGAGCACTTCTGGGTTCGCTGCCTTCACACACAGAGCCCACACTTGTTGCAAAATGAAGGAGGAAAAACTTGTAGGCTTTATGAATGAAACCAGAAATTATATGCGTAGGGCACCTTCTTGAAAAACAAATGAAAATTCATGAAGCTTGAAATTTCTTTATGGGATGGGAGGGAATCTATATCTAGAATATCTAAGTTCAGACAGCCGTAGCAGTTACATTACCTCCTTCCAGGTCAAGAACAGTTTTTTCTGGGTGTTTAAGTACCAAATGTGGTATGAGGCCTTCACAAAATGTCCAGTGTTCCGTACATTTCTTCCCAGCCTTCTTCTCCAGGAAATTGTATTTCCTTCTGAGGGGTGAAGTTCTCTGCCTGGCTTGGGTTTGACTGAGTTTTGACACATCTGTGGTTTCAGTGCTTGGCGAAGTGCAAATTATCTTCTCCTCAGAGGCCTCTTGCTGTTGGTTTCTCTCCATTCACTTTGCTGGACAGTACCTCACTTTCTTACCACTTCACACAGTAGCTTGTCTTGGAATTTATGCTCTAGAAACTGCTGCTGTAACTGTGAGTCTTATACTGGAGGCTGTGTTTTTATACTGTATTTTTGTACCACTTTCTGAGAAGTACTGGTGAAGAGTTTGCTTTTTTATATATATACAGAAACTTTTATAACTTTATAAAAAAATGGTATTTATTTTATATTTAAATTTTATTATTTACATTTATTTTGTATTTAAAACTTTTTATATATACCGAAGCTTCTGTGATCCACCCCATCATTTTATTTTTCCCCCACTGCATTATTTAAGGCACAAAATGACTTGTTCCCCTGGAGGTGAGGAACTAGGTGATGCTGGAACGAACCCAAACATGCTCCACCACTGTGGGCTCAGTAGACAGCTGGTCTGCTTTGGTTCAGCTTTCAGGAGGAGACT